TTTCTTCAGAACTCGACCGCAACGGGAAGTTGGGATGTTTGGCGGTTCGTGGTCGGGTACCGCTACTGCTCTGGGGCTCGTCTGAGCACAGGCAGCTCATGGAGGTGGGCTGCTTTGCGCGGACATCGTCCTGGCTGGGGTGGTGTTGTCCAAGCGAGTTGGAGACGGGCTGAGGCTGCGCAGGTGTCGCCGGTTCCTCCGATAAACCGCGCCGTTGGCCACTCTGATGGTGTACGACCTTGGTTCAGGCCGCTGGTTCACGACGGTCGCTGGTTCCCATCGGCCGCTCTGAGGGTGCTGTACGCGGATGGGTTGTCCGGGACGGAGTGTGGACAGCTCGGTCGTTGTTTCCGTGACCTCGGTTTGTTGTCCCTTGGCTGTACATCTTGAACCTCCCGACAGACGGTACTCCAGTGGTTCGGCTTTCCACACACGGTACATGTTGAACCCATGGCTGGGCACTCTTATTCGCGAAGATGAGCTTTGTGGCCACATCTGTTGCATGTTTTGTCACCTTTTTGGCTTCTTTGCACACTGCACTGCTTGGTTGGCGGCTTGGGATTGGACGCTCTTCAGTTGCTGCATGTGCTGCATGGACGCTTCATGTGTGCGACCCACCTCCAGCACTTTGTCCAGGTTGAGAGTGTTATCTTGCTAGAGGGAGCTCTTTTTGAACCTCAGCATGGCAATGTGCCAATGATAATTTGGTCCATGACCCTTCATTGGACTCCTGGTCATCTCTGAAGGCACACTTTTGGGCCTGGAGTTTACATCTGGATACAAAGTGATCAAACGACTCGCCTTCCTCCTGCTTCAGGGCGTTGGAGAGAACAGCCTGGCCACTCTGAAGTTGGTCTAAGGCTCAACTTGGGTCTGGAATTTGTCCCATGCCTTTAAGGGCTCTTCCCTCCTCTGCTGGAGGCCCCATGAGTTGTAGAATCTCAGGCCTTGCTCTCCCGAGAACAGCAAGATATGGTCCACTCGTTTTTCTTTCTTGATTTCTTTCACTGAGAAAAACAGTTCACATTTCTGCTTGAAGAGCTTTAGGACAAGGCTTTGGTCAGCAGCTTCCCAATCCGTGCGAGGTATGAAAGAATCAGACATTTCTTTGTCCTCTGCGGCGATTGCGACGTACGTGACGCGCACTATTGAAGCTCTTAATTTGGCTTATCGCTACTAGATATTTCTTCCCCCCTGTTTAGATTGTGCTGCAATGTGTTCTCACCCAGCTGCCACCATGTGGTATCGTGTCTTATTTATCAGTAATTGGTCCTAAACGCTATATGCTTTGTCCGCGCTCTTCGTCGACATTCCAGACCGCGCGTCATGCGGCAATATACAAGCGTTTTGCGCCACCGAACGCCAACGATATAAAATGGAAGCCGTCACTAAAATGTAGGACGGCTACCGTGCATGGTAGTACATCGCAATCAGTAGCTGCCAGGCAGTCACCCCGAGTCAGAAATAACACTGTCATGCCCCATACCCATCACACATTTTGTGTGGAACAGGCACACTGGGTCAGACATCGTGCAAGATTATGTTCTACACCCATCACAGAGCTTTCAAGCATTCACACTAGATCATATATAGCAAGGTCATGCTCTGGCCCCCATCAGTGAGCTGCCAAGCAGGCACACTAGGTCAGGCATGACACATGTTAGCTGTTGTGTTCATGAATGAGCTGTCAGGTGGTCTCGCTGGGTCAGAGGACCTGGGTCAGAGGACACACAGCCAGGATATTGGATCCCGTTCAGTTGGAGGGAATTCAGCTACCCCCTATCAGAAGCATGACATGGGGCAAATAAGGAAAGAAATAACTCTTTCATATTGATTGTGCTCTTACCCAATTTCTGTCCTCAGCCGCGACCATTTCAGCGAACCTTTCCCCAAGAACACAGCTATGCCCCTCCCCCTCTCCCCTCCCAGTGACCTGACAGGCAGTCACATGAGGTCAGACATGATACACAGCACCTGCCTGTTTCAGTGGTCATCATACATCAGGATGCTGAGTACATATACACTGATGCACAAGAGAACAATTTTAGGATGTTCAGGCATTATTCTCGTTCCCTCTTTTACGCAACCTGAAATTGTGAAATTTGTGAACATGCTGTGAAGATATACTTAACCTGCATAACTATTTGGTCATTAACAAAACTTCACAGCTACATGACCCTACATATATGCAGCATACAATGGTGCAGGATCCTATTCATCTATAGGCTTCTGCTCCCTCGCCCCTCCTTTCCATGTGGAGCAGGAATTGTGGGAAAATCTAGGGATGAACACTAGTTTCTGCATATTTTGATGCTACTATACACATTTACCAACTCAGCACCCCCAATCATTTTTATGAAGCTACACCCCTGGTAACATTTCTTAACATATGCCAACATCCCTTTTTCTATAAACATGATCTGCTGCTGTTGGTATGTTATATTTTTGTTGTTGATGAGGGCATTTGCGAGAAACGTTATGCATATACAAAGCACAGTACTAAAAGCCCTAGTCCTTTAAGAATAAGCCGGAAAATGGACAGATGGTGGACAGTAATCACATCAGCTGTCAACAGCTACCTATCACCAGTGATACTTGTTGTGATAAAGACATGTAGCTGACATCAATACACCCATCTGTCCATTCTCCTGGTTACTCCAAAAGGAATAAGGCTATAATAGCTGTTTTGTTTGTGTTATATTCCCCCCCCTCATTTTTGAACAACATGGAGCAGTCTGGAGCGGATTTAGAGCAAGCTTTGAGCAGGTTCTACATTTTGAGAGTGAGTTTCCACAGCAATGGTGGAATGTTGGAAGCAGGCTGTAATAGACTGGAGCAGATTGTAACAATCACAGAAAAAACAATAGTGTTCTGTTCATCGCAGCCTAGTCCTTCAATGAAACCGAGTGCACGGTGCTTGTGAGAGCCTTATCCCACATCTCAACTTCAGTTGCACAGTGACCAATTCTTCCTGTGGATTTACAACACTTTTTGTTTAATCATTTAACAGGAACATTAGAAGCAAATGCAGGTGCCGGACTTGCCCCATATTTCACATGACTGAAATAAATTCGGGCTCCATGCAAATCATGAGGCAGATAAGCATGGATCTAAATGTGATCACAAACAACTAAGTCCCTAAAATAGACATTTATAGGCACAAACCAAATCAATTCAAAGATGGCAAATCAAATCTGGGTTCTACCACGAGCAGGCCATGGTGGCTAGCAAACTAATCAGCATATCTTCATTCCAATGTGGTGTGTTTGTGAGGGTACTTGATGTAACACATGGAAAATACTGATATCGTCTATCACCAACAAACAACAACAAAATAATGCTTGCACTTACCAATAATACAAGGCATACGAAGCGGAAACTCACGCAATGATCGGCAATAACACACTCACAGATATGGTGTGCCAGGTTCAGATATCCTCGACATACAGGTAAACAGCTGCAAATCCGCAGATAGATTACTAAATTCCTGCCTCAAACATAATAAGCACTCTTTCAATGAACCACAACGCATCCCAACATCACACACTCATTTACATACCTTCCACAGCTGTAGCGCTCAACTCCGCAGGCCTTGATGCCGCTCGATCTCAAGAGCGCCTAACCACAAACACTCGCTCGTTAGGGACCGTGGCGCTCACCGGGCGCGCGGGCCGGCCCCCTGCGGTGCCGCGCGCCGCGGGGAAAAGGGGAATAATCGTAATAAAACACATATTGTTGCCAAACCATATGGGATATGCCAAAAACCCTCTCGGGTTAATGTTGTACAGTTGTTCATCTTCCGAAATGAGACAGTCGCTTCAGATTTTTGTGATTTTGATTCGGTCAAAATGGAGTCAAATAATACCTTCTTGTATCTTACGAGCATTACGGGGGCGCCGAAATTCACGGTAGTGTCTGTCGCAATCATTTTGCACAAATGCTGCGGGATATTTCTTGAAACCCCATCCGGGTTTATGTACAGAATTGCATGGAGATTATTGCTTTGTCTTTTTTTTGGAACGCTTAGGCCAGACCTGGCCATTTTAACAATATATGTGCAACATCTTTTTACTAATTTTCCAGAGGAATAGGGTCAGTGCCTAACGACATGAATGTAATTTTATTATCGAAATCAACAATTATATTACGTTCTCAGTACCGTAGTCCAATCAGTATACTGCTATTTTAGGATGTATTGCAACTTGCAATGTATTGCAATTGTATGTGTTTCTCAGGGGAACAAAATGGATTTTTATCTGGTTTAGCAGGAGCACGTTCTTCATGGCGATCTTCTTTGATGTAATCACATTAGGTACCTGATTGTTACTGTTCTCATTAATATGTGCGGCACACATTTTGGCTGCGCATGTCATCGCCGCCAAGGATATTGACCGGACGGGGGGGGGGGGGAAATATTGCTCCCACATTATTATTCGGACTTAATCGTCACTAGTTACACGCAAGAAGTGGCATTTGAAAGTTCTAATGAGT